GAGTCAAGGCCCAAGCCTAGGCTTGCTCTCTCCACATAGGAGCAAAGAGGATCCTCCAGCAACTATGGACATATCCTTAATTCAACAAACCCCAAAGTTCCTCCAGGAGACTAGGAGAGTCATTTTCCCTTGGTTGGTCCCCTGTTCCACCCCACTACCAGAATGAGTCGTTGGTCAGTATTTGACCAGGCCTGGATCACTATCTGCCCCTAGAGCTGTCAATGGGGGTCTTCCCCACCCCAACACATGCACTAGGCTGAGGAAGTTGTCCCCCATGGAAAGTGGAGATCTATGATTAGAAAGGGGTCCATAGGTTGAACGTGTAATAACAGTGGCATTTCCTATAAAGAATTTATTATGTAAAGGATTTTTTTTTTTAAATCTCTGAGAGCCTAGTGTTGTATATGGTGAAGTGAGGTTCAGAGAGGCCTTGACCAAGGCCACACAGCTAGTAACTGACAGCCAAGACTAGTCCCACACAGGCTGCATCTCTGGCCATTTTGAGCTCTTCCTTTGCCTTAGCAAGTGTTTTATTTTGTTACTTGAAAGTTTTCATTTTAAAAATTTGTATTACCAACATATTCCTTTGGAACAAGAGTGCTCAGAGAGTGTAGAAGAGGACACAGATGGGAAGATGACCTAACTGTACCCACAGATCAGACACAGCCAGAGCTCCGTCAACATTTCTTTGGATGCCTTGATCATTTCTGGGCCCATTAGCAGGATTTCAAACAGCCTGGATCATTGTCAAAGATATACTATCCAGCTGCTGGAACCCTGCCCCATACACTGTGGGCCAGAAGTGTCACACAACCCCTGCAACACACCCCAGGGATAGCTATGAAGCAACATCTTCCAGATGTTGGGATCTGCATACCCAAGGACACTTGTCCTTGGCTAGAATTCTAAGGTATACATTTACCTCATTTTCTAAAACTTCCCTGCAGGATTAAGCTTCACTCACTCTCTATGGTAACTGGCTTACTAACACCCTCTCATTGGCTGCCTTCCCTCCCTGGGCCATCTTTCCACTCCCCTGCTGGTATCCTTCCATCTCACATATAAATCACACACTTTAATTTTATCTAAACCCTGTGAGCTACCCCAGGGATCTGGATCCCACCTTTTCTTCCATCACAAGCATCTGGGCCAGACCCTTGCACTTGTCCTCACTGGTATCTTCCCTTTTCCTTAGTTCTGGTCCCTCCTATCAGGAATTTAATGCCTTCAAGTCTCTCTGGATTTAACCTTCCACCTCCCTTGTCAGACAGCCCTGCCTCTTTTCCCTTCAGAGCACAAACTTCTCAAGAAAGGAATCTACTTGCCTGCTCCACTTCTTCTTTTCATTTGCTCCCCAGACTGCCCTCCACTAAGTTGGCCTTTCACTCCCACCACTCCACTGAAAGTGTGCTTATCAGGTGTAATGGCTCTTATCTAAATGTTCCCCAAAGCCTTATGTGGTTATACGTGGGGCTTTTCAGAGGTGGCTGGATCTAGAGTGTGTGATGCTGAGATTAACTGTGTGATGCTGGGGTCAATGGTGTGTGACTATTTTTTTTAAAATACAGCAAGAATTTATTTAAGGTATGGTGCCTGCAGGCCAGATAATTTTTGAACTGTAGGTTTCAGGATGAACCAAGTTCATAAAAATATTTTAAAGACAGTTGCATCCACAGACTTCAACTATGTGATGACTTGTTTGCCCATTCTTCTCTTTCTTTTCTTTCCCGAATAACCTCTTTGAGATATGGCTCAGGGTAGAATTTATCCTCCTCATATTTTTTTTTAACATTTATTTAGTGTGTGTGTGTGTGTGTGTGTGTGTGTGTGTGTGTGTGTGGCCAACTCAGCCCACCAGGGTGCGCGGCTGGCTGGCATGTGGTGCTGGAGGATCGAACCGCGGTCCCGCGGTCCCTGTGCTTTGCCAAGCTTGTTCCAAGTAGGTGCTTTAGACCACTGAGCCATCTCTCCAGCCCCCCTCCTCATATTTTGTCCATTGCTCTTTAGGCAAGATCTGATGCTTCATGCTCAGGTCCAGGGCTCTCTTAATGCAAAACATCCTGTCATTCTAAAGGTTTTCTGGAAGCCCTCTTATGGCTTCTTTTACATCTTCATCATCTTCATATATTGTATCATCTCACATTAAGCCCAGCTTATTGAACTCTGAAACATTGTAATACCATTCCCAAATACCTTCCAGCTGCCAGCTTGATGCTGCAACAGTCGAGCAGCCTGCCATTTTGACCCAAGAGTGAAGCGAGCCAAGGGTGTGTGCTTATTAAATTAGTCCACTGATTGGTTTGGCATAGCTCTGTGTATGAATAATGGGGAGGCTTACCCTGGGTGTGAGTGTACTTGCTCTAAGGACATGTGGCCTGGATAGAATATAAAGACAGAAAAAGGGATGTTGTCGTTGCTTGCTGCTTCTTCACTATACTTCACTGCTTTGCTGTCTTCTGCCCACTATGAAGTTTTTCTCCTCTTTGATGTCCCTCTCCTATGACACCCTGCCTTGGAGCCAGCTCATTATGGACTGAAACCCCTACAAACTGTGAGCTACAAAAATCCTTTCTTCTTTTAACTTTGGGTGTCAGGTATTTTGTCTCAGCAACAAGATAGCAACCAAGATATAAAGTTTCTAGTTACCTTCTCTTCAAACCCAGGGAACACCTTTTGGGCTATGTTTTGCCTTCCTGGCATGGCTGATACTGCCCTCCTTCTGGGACATTCTCTCCCCTTGCTTCTGTATCATCTCTCTTTTGGGCTTTACTGGCTTCTTAGAGCTCTGCTTCTCTTTCTTTGATGTAGCTTTCTTTTCCTGCCAGTCCCTTTGTGCTGGTGCTCATTGGGTTGATCTTGGGCCCTTCTGTCTTCCTATTTTATTTATGTTCTCCCTTCACATGCCAATATCCTTCACACAATCTCTTTCACCAGCTCTCAAAATATTTTGAAGATAGTTGCATCCAAAGACTTCAACTATGTGATTATTTCTTTGCCCATTCTTCTCTTTCTTTCCTTTCTCAAATAACCTCTTTGAGATATAGCTCAAGGTAGAATTTATCCTCCTCAAATTTTGTCCACTGCTCTTTAGTGGAATTCCTACTCTGTCTTTACCTGTAAAGACAGAGCTCAACTCTGCACTTTTATGTCTCAGTGTGGCCATCCTACAAGCCCTTTCTATTCCCAGGGCTCTTATGTCATACATCTTCCATTCACCTGGCTTCTCATGGTAGAACCTCAGAAGGGGCAGCAGAGTCCTCTCTTTGTTTTACCCCTAAATAGGCACTGAGTCTTGCCCTTCCTCTTAGTCCAACAGATGCTTTTGTGACTCAGTTGTTATCATCCTTTACATAAACAATTGCCAGAGCCTCCCCATAAAATGTGCTGGCTTTACCTGAAACAGTTTCCTTCGCCCCAGTGGTTCTTGCCATTTTCATTGTCTTGTGATCCTCTCAAACCCTCAGTTTCTTCACCTGTTTCATGGAGCCCAAAGTGTTACTTTGGGGGGTGGATGAGGATGAAATGAGGAATGATGAATGGGGAATATAACTAGTAAACTCTGAAACTAAGTGCCTTTGTGGGCAGTGAATGAAATATTTCAGGATTAGAGAGAATTAGAAAGCAGTCTGGCTGTTGCTGTCCGTGGTCCTGAAAATTGGTCCCTCACTTTTTTTCCTCTCTGAGATATGGGGAAAAGGGTGTATTCACTGATTCTCTTCACTTGCCATCTAGATTTTTAAAAGATTGTAAGGTCACAGTGACTTACAGTTCCCTGGTAAGAGAAAAGAAGACTAAAAATAATAATTAAGAGTGAGACCTACAGGGTTTAAATTTTATAAATTTGTAATCCCAGCTGCACAATCAACTAGCTGTGTGACTACGAACAAGTTACTGATCTATATGTTTCCTTATCTGAAAAAAACGTGGGTGAGATACTAGTGTTAATATTAACTTGCTCCTGTGTGATTGGAAATTGAAATTAGATGAAACCTGCAAACAAAATCTTAGCACAGTGTCTGAGCCTAATAAAAATTTTATTAACATTAGTTGTTACCGTTTTTAGTAGGTAGTGCAAGTGCGAATGGATTTTATCACCTTCAGGACAATTACAGTTATTTTCTCTGGGAAATCTAACAAAAAAGGGAACACTTCTCCACTATAAAATCTGGACGGAGAGGGCAGCGAGTTCTCATATCTTCCACAATTCAGATTCAACAGGAAGCCCCTGAACACCTACTTCAGATGTTCAGGTGATTCGTGTTAGTCTTATTTTACAGATAAGGAAACTGAGGCTCAAAGAGGCGACATGACTTGCTCGAGGGAATCTACTGGGAGAAGGCTTGCACAGACTGGAGGATAGGCAGGCACCCTGCTTGTGGAGGCGGGCAGAGGCAGAATGGAGGGTGCCTCTCCCACAGCACCACCGCTTGCGTCCCCGCCACTCTCCGGAGCGTGGGCAGCGGCGAGACAAAGGGCCGGGGGCGGGGCGGGGGGGGCAGAGAAGGCCGGAAGTGCAGCCGAGGGGGAGGCGGGAAATTTCCTCGCTGAGGGAGCTTGGAGATCCCAACGACCTGAGGTCTCTTGCAGGCGCCGCACGTTCTCGGACAAATGGTCACATCTAACTGAGCAGAAACCCCCTCCTCGGGGAAACGAGACAGTGTTTGCGGGGCTCTCCGGGCTGAGATCAGACACAGCGTGCCTGGCAGGCGCACAGCAAACGGGCAGCCTCTCGCCCCTCAGTCTCCCGCTCTGTGAAATGGGAACCAGTTTGAGAAGGGCAGGGGATCCAGGAGCCCAGTGGCCGCAGGCACAGGCAGGGTGAGGGGCGGCAGCTGAGGGGCGCCCCTCCCTCCCTCGGCTCCCGGGTCCTGCCGGCACCGCCCCCTCCCAGTTCCGAGGCTGCCAGCGCGCATGCCCGGGGCGGGGCGCGGGGCGGGAGCGCGGAGCAGGCTCGGGGGACAGAGGCTCCGAGTCCTCGGGTCTGCCGGCCAGCCCGGCCCTACCAGCCGAGGCCGCTTGGGTGGCGACAACGAGAACCAGAGGGCAGCGACGACGACAAGCAGAGCAGCTGCACCGCCAGGTAAGCCCCCGCCCTCACCTGCGGCCCCTAGCCAGCCACAGCTTCGGCCCCCTCTGTGCGCTGGAGCCCGCCCCGCAGCCGCTGTCCAGGGTCCGAAAGCCCCCTGAGCCACTCGCGCAGCGCGGCAGGTGTCCAGGTGTGCGTGGCCCTCGGCTGGAGGCTGTGAGCGTCCGTTTCCAGGCTCCTCACTGGAGCTGGGCGGGGCGGGGCGGGGGCGGGTCCCGCAGCTGGGCTGAACCCCCCAGGGGCCTTGCGGGCCAAGCCGCCCTGCTTGTAGGACTGGGGGCCCACGTCCAGCCTCGCAGTGGTTGGATGCTTTGTTTCGCAAGGCGGTGCGGAGGGGGCGCTTCCCGCCACCGGGGGGGAGGGGGTCCACCCTCGTTGATTCATCTCCTTCCTTGAAGGAGCTCGGTGCTTGAGTGGCTCTATTCGCACCACTGAGCACACTCGCTGTTGCACACCCAGTGTGGCACACACTCTGGGACAAGGTTACACACTCACCACATTCATACACAGCGCTTCGTCCCCGGGCTAGGCCAACAGGTCTTACACACACTCACACATAACACATACACACACACACACACACGCACACACACACGGTATGGCCCTGGGTCATTCCATCAGAGTCAGCAGTGTGGCCACCTGTGTACCCAGCCAGTACTCCAGGTGGGAAACTCACATACACACCCAGGCACAGCCACACACTCACACCAGCCATTATGGATCACAGCATACTGACAATGGCTCCTGATTAAATACTCTTGAAGCCACTCTTGCAGCCTACTCTGATCTATTTGTACCTGTTCACACTGCTTATGGTGTCCCTTATGTGCCCCTAAACCCTGGAGTAGGCTATCACACTTGTGAACACATTCTCTAGCACACACACAGTCTCTCAGTTTGTCGCTCACTGCCACCCACACTAGCTCGAGTTTTCACTCCATTCTTGTCCTCTGGATGGAAGGACAGATGAACAGATGGGCAGTGGTCTAGAGCAGTGGTGGCAAACCTATGGCATGCTTGCCACAGCAAGCTGTTTGTATCATTGAAATTGCTAAAAGGTTCCCCATCACTGGTCTAGGGGTTGCTTCTGTGGAAGGTCTGTCACCCTTTGCTACACCAGTTCTCTTACAGCCCCACACAGAAGACTTTTCTCCTTTGAAGGTCCTTGGAGAGGAGCGGACAAGAGGCAGCAGACTGAGATTTTCACACACACTCACAGACACACATGCCTGCCAAAATCTCACAAGCCTTTATCGTGTTACCATGGGAAGAGATGCTTGCAGGTGCTTGGCAGCTCTGGCCCTGGATTGAGAGAGTAGGGATGGCTCCAGACTGGGAAGAAATCCTAGAGAGAAATGAACAGGTTAGCCAGGTCTCTGTGCATTTACAGGGGCTGCTCTGCATGCAAGTGGGACCCACATGCCTACACACACACACACCCGGGCCACCTGTCCCATGAGCCTGACTACAAAGCCATGTGGTCACACATGCACACACTCACAGAGTGTAAGTGACTCCCACGAGTTGAAAACACATATGTGGGCCATTCTGCACATAGAAGTGACATATATCAAGCTTTCTTAAGCAGAAAACTCAGAAACCAGATCCTGGCCCCATACTGGCCTAAGGTAGGGCAGACTTCCACAAGTAGTCTGTTCACTTCCTTGTACACCAAGTGAATTACTGCATATGCTTTGGGTTATTTCAATCTTCAGTTAGGTCATGTGCACCTAACTTTATGCAGGCTCATCTGTTCATAGGATGTGTATGTTCCTGCAGGTAGGTGTATGTGTATGTAGGGACAGTTGCTTCCTCTCCTGCATATTCCCTGGCACTGATGCCTCTGAAGTCCATGAGATTCAGGGGAGCATTGGCCTTACTTCAAGGAACAGAAAGAGGTTATAAGAGCCAAATGTTAGTGTCTAAGATCTTGGCTGACATCACTGGGAAGAAATAAAACTTTGGGTTCAGACACAACTTCGAACTACAACCCTTCCTCTCCTCAGCTGCATGTCCTTAGTCAATTCTTTTCTTCTTCTTATGTCAGTGTCCTTATCTGCAGAATGGGATGATAACACCTCCATCATGCCATTATTGTGGAGTTCAGATGACAAAATGAACCTGAGGGTGGTGGGCCCAGAGCTGAGCACACAGACAAAAAGTGATGTAATCAGGTTCTGGAAGGAAGATGGGAAGAGAGGAGATGGATGAGGGTGCTGAGGTTTCATTTAGAGCCAGAAAGGACCCGGTAGAACTGTTTAGGAACAGCATCTCTGGTACTGTTCTCAGGCAGATAGCTCTTATTTCACAGATTGGTCTAGGGAGGTAGGAAAAAAATCACTGAAAGTCACAAACCAATTCAGTCCCCAATACCACAAAAAAAGACAGACAGACAGACAGGAAGGAAGGAAGTCACAAGCCAAGTGAGTAACTAAACTGGGACTTAACCCCACATCTTTCTACCTCCTGCATCAGCCTCTCTCACCCTACTCTGCACCTGATCCCCTCTTAGTAGCTAAGAACTTCTAGCTGGGAACTTGGAAACCAGCCTCTTCCAGGGAGGTTTGCAAAGGGGAAACATGTCCAACTGGGCCATGCCTGCCTCTCAGAACCTCAGTTTTCTCCTCTGGAAAACAGAATATAACACATACAGTGTCTTTGCAAGGACACTTCCTGCCTTTCTTGGCATCTAGGTCAAGGATCAAAACTTAGGTGGCAACAGGGCCTAGTGACGCACGCCTATAATTCCAACACTCAAGAGGTTGAGACAAGAGGATCACTTAGGGCTTGAGAGCAGCATGAGGGTTATGAAAGTGAGCGCAAAGGCAGCCCAAACTGCATAACAAGACTGTCTCAAAAAAAAAAAAAAAAAAAAAAAAAACCTTAGGTGGCAGTAGACCAGAAGAGTAACATACATGAGGGGCTGGATTATGCAAATGCAGTGATTTGATGTTCTTTGAGAAGGCTCCCACTTTGTAGTTTAGGCTGGCTTTGAACTTGCTATATAGTATGGGCTATCTTTGAACTCACAGCAGGTCTCCTGCCTCTACGCCCTGAATGATGGCGTCACTAGCATATGCTACCACACCTGGCTGCAAATGCAATGACTGATGGCAACAGTCAGCCTCAGGACCACCCATAGAAAGGAGTGAAGACTGGCTGACTGGAGAGGCCACGCTCACCTGAGGAGCCCCTTGGAGGCTCCAGCTGACTGTTGCTATGCAGAAAGCATACTCACATTGCCAAATTTTAGTTTCCCAGATTTGTGCAGAACCTGATTCTCTCACAAATCTTTTAAATTTTATGTATTGATTAGTGCATGCCTTTACTTTAAATTGACTTAAAAAAAATTATTTTAGCACTCTGGGTCAAACAGGCACTCGGAAGGCCAGATTGTGCTAGTTTGAGTGTCTGTGCAGGCCCTCTCCCTCTGCCCCCTCCTGGGAGCACAGCTGGGCTCTGACAGGCTGAGGAGATAAACACAGGCCTTCCATGTACACAGCCCAGCCCTACAGTGAGCAGAGCCGTGTGCACCCCTTTAATTCTCACAGCAGCCCTGGGGAAGCATGGGGGAGGCTCTTCAGGGTTGCCAGTGAAGGGCAGGGCCTTGCTTGAGGCCACAGAGCTGATAAGTGGTAAATTGTCTGGACTTTATGTTTGAGCCTCTCTCTGAAGGGAAGAGCTTGTTGGTTGGGCTGGTGTGTGGGGACCTCAGAGCTGGATCACCAGAGCTCGAATGAGAGGTAGTGAGCACCAGGAGCACCTCTCCTACAACCTTTCCCAACTCCTCTCAGCTGTGGCTTAAACTCCCTATGCTGTCAGATTCCTGCTTTCCAGAGAAGGAAACCAAGGCAAGCATGGCAAGTAAATCTTATCCCTCACCAGAAATGGGCCCCTTCTCTTGCCCATCTGCCCAGTCACTCTGTCTTGTAAAGGCTCTTCCATAGATCAGAGGTCACAAGCCAGTGGTCTCAGGTCAAAGTTGGCCTACAGGAGTGTTTTGGTTGGCCTGCATGTTATTTTAAAAATGGGCCAACTCTTATCCCAGCACTCTGGGAGGTTGGAACACGAAGATTGCAGGTTCAAACTCACAATGGACAGCCAAGCAACTTAGTGTGACTCTGTCTCAAAATACATTTTTAAAAAGCAGGGAGGATGATTATGTAGCTTGTTGTAAAGGTCCTGGGTTCAATCTCTAATACCACAGGGGGCCTGGCCCTAGCTCAGTTCTTTAAGTGGCTGCTTCCACAAAGCTGTCAGCCTCAGGTTGCTGTAGTTCCATCCCCACAACACTCCAGCCAGCCAAACCAGCCCTGAGGGCATTCGGAGCAAAAAAAAAAAAAAAATCCTTATTCTAATACCACAGACAGACAGACAGACAGACACACACACACACACACACACACACACATTCATATTTAAAATATTTTTTTAATCGAGATTTAAACTTTGCTCAATTAATCAGAATACCTATCCAAGAATAAGCTATTGATTCCCCTGCCCAAAACATTCCAGGGACTTCCCAGGCTCCCTTAGGAGGAGCTCCCCTTCCCCTAGGCCTGCACGCCTGTCTTCCTCCCTGCCTCTGTCTCCCACTTCCACTTCTGTTCCAGCCACCCTGGCCTTTTCATGGTGGGTTCAGATGCTAACCTCCTCAGAGTGGTCTTTCTCTTGGCCACATCTCCAAACCAGCTGCCAACTGCTTCAAACACATCACCCAGTATTTGAAATTCTATCATTCATTTGCTCCTGTTTTTACACTCTTTCCTATCTTTCTGCATATCGAGGTCAGAGACCATATATTCCCTGCTATTATATCCCTGACACCAAAAACAGTGCCTAGAACACTGTATATGTGCTTAATAAATGTTGAGTGAATTGGTGAATTCCTATTTGGCCACCACTGGCAGGAAATGTGTGTAGTTACCCCTTTTGAAGGGATGAATGTTCTCTGGCTTCCTACAGTGCCCACCACTCCCTCTTGTCTCCTTCAT